CACAAAAAAAGTCAAAAAGTCAAAAAGCAAACTCACTTCCCAAACGGAGGCTTATGTTTGATATTGTAGAATATATATAATTTTTCTTATTATATAAACAATAATGGTAGATACCTCTTTTTTTGATACCCTAACTTTCAAAATGATCTACATTACTCATGATGTGAGCTTCACACATACATAAGTGGACCCCACATATATATAAGTGGTGTAAATCACTTTGGGAGTTGTGGAATCACCAAAAAAGGAATCTCACTCATTTTCCTTATATAAAACTTCTAGAATTATAAAGTCAACTTAATTAAACCGATATATATGATTTGATTGTAGTTCATATCATATATGTTTAATGATTTAGCTACGATTTTAATTTTTCTAAAATCATAGGAATGGATTTTGTTCATGACTTACTAACGGGAAAGACTATGATCATATGCACCTTATAATTATATAAGAAAATGATATAAGTTTATATATTTTGAGGCATAATTAAAATAAACTAAAATAAAGTCATAATTAAATACAAAAATGTCATAACTAAATATCTCAAAATAATTTCATAACTAAAAAAGAAAATTGATTATAACTAAAGAAAAAAATAGCATAAATAAAGGTGCATATAGTATATGTTTAATTATACCTTACTATAAAATCAGACCAATTCAGAGATTGTTTAAAATAATTTAAATAAGTTTACTTTTTAACTTTTTATGAAACATATATATACTAGCGTATACCCGTGCCTAAAGGCACGGTGTTTTTTTTTTTTTTTTTTAATTTTTTAAAATGTTTGACACTGGAAAGATATGAATGAAATGCATCTAATAAAAAATTAAAAACATGAATAAACTTTATAGTGCTTAGAGTATTGACAACAAATTAAACTTTGTGTACAAAGCAATAAACTGTATAGTGATTAAAGTATTGACAACAAATTGAACTCAGTGTACAAAATAATAAAATGTATAATAATTAGAGTATTGACAACAAATTGAACTCTGGCCGATTAAGAGCTCCAATCGCTGTCACTGGGTTGAATTCAGGTCCAATAGGCATTCGGATGCTTTGTTCAAACACTTCTTTAGATGTGTATGGGTACGGCAATGTCTTTGTAAGTAGTTTTTCAGCCTACCAAGTCCAAATACATGAGAAGAAGCCATTAATCAATGAAACCACATAAAAGAGCTTCTATACATATGATATCTTCTATCCGCAACACTGAACACTTGCAAATGTTTACCTCAACTGGAAGACCTTGTGGATCAACCAACTAAGAAGGTAAATTCCATTGTCTTAGGTTTTTTTTTTTAATTAATTTAGCTCCCATACAAATAGGTTTTCTTTTTTAGTGAGGCAAAATAACTAATACAACCTCATCCTTTAACTTGACATCATACAACAGGGAGATTCTTTCTATATTGTCAAATTTCCAAATATGTCGATTGTCAAGTTTCAGATTCATAAATTCTTTAATTGTGAAAAATTGATCACATTCATCTTATTAAATTGTTGACCAAAATTTGGAAATTTTCAACTACACAGAGCTTGTCTTATTCATGCAAGAATTTGTTTTGATACCCCTTAGGCTTCAACCATCTAATTTTTTCTTCAGTGAACTCCATATTCAATTGCAATGCACAAAGCAGAAATTGAAAGATTACATTATTTCAAAAGATGAATGCATATAAGCAAAAGATCTTACAATAAATATATCATTTCAATATCCATATTACATTATTCAACAAATACACAATTACTTTTCATCTCAAAAATCCCAATTCACATTTAACTAAAACTAAGCAGATACAAAATCTTCAAAAATCAATTCCCTATTAAAAAAAAATGAAAGAACATATCTTAACAAAGGTAGCAAAACCCTAATCGTGTCAATCAGTAATCGATGTCAAACCAATGTAAGAAACTATAATGTGAATCAAATTGATAATCAAAACAACAAAATTAAATAAATAAATAAATTCAAGAACGCCACTTTGACCGACAAAATCATAGATTACAGATGAATTCAAATCCAAATTCCAAATAGATAAAACCTTTACAAAAAATGATCAGAGGTTAATCAAAGAAAAACAATAAGGTTTTTTAGTTCTTAATAGTAATCCTATAAAAGAATAAAAATATTATAATAACAGGTAGAATTTGTAAGTAGAATTTTGCTTTCATTTTATTAGGCAGTTCAAAAAATGTTTTAACTTTTTATGCTCATAGAATTACACTGCCTTCGTGCTTGTTGTTGACTTGAATTGGCAAGGAGTTGGTTACAGTAAATTGGCAAGGAGTTGGTTACATTGCCTTCTTCCATCTATGACATTATTTATATTTGTGGTTGGGAGGCTTTAAATGCATCCTAAAATTTGAAGTGCATTTAGAGCCTGCCCTATAATTGTATGCATACCTAGGATAAATGACAAATATACCAAGTAATTCATGATTTCATATATTGATTTTTGGGAAATTTTAAAAAGAAAAAAAACTTCAAAATCTTGACCTTGGTAACAAATCAATCCTAACTTGAAATTATTTTAATTCTAACCATTCATTTCTATGGGCCATTTAAACAGTCTAAAAACTTTTTCCCTTTATTTTGGTGCTGACAGTCATTTGCTACCCTTACCATGATCCATCACAACCCCCATCTCTTTTCCCCATCTACCACTACTCCTCATTTTCCTCAGAAATGGACATCAAAACGTCTATTTCTCTAACCCCAGTAAAAAACAATGGTCACCACCACAGACATCAATTTCATATAGTACTGTCAAAATTTCACAGGTCATTTATCTCACCAACTTAAGGTATGACTCTACAAACCCATATCAGTTACTTTGGGCTTCATATGGCACTGTCAAAATTTCACAGGTCATGTATCTCACCAACTTAAGGTACGACTCTACAAACCCATATCAGTTACTTTGGGCTTTGTTTAAAAGGAAAGAAACAAAATTAAATTTATGAAAAGGAAACCTAGGAGAAATTATTCTTTTGCCCAGCCAAACACAAACATAAATAAGAATAAAAATGAGAGAGAGGTATCGCGGAAACTAACAAAGATAAAATCCTGAAATTTGGAGCCCAGAGTCTTTAGCTTAATGTAAAGAGTCCGTGTGATAGCAATCAAACATAATAAACAGAGTGATCTTTACCTTTAGTTTGAGAAGAGTGAGCGAAGTGATCGACTCGAGATAAAAAGAGAATGGGAGCGAGTAGTTCCGACAATGTAAGAACCAAACTCTTGTAAACTCCCAATTCCAAATTTAAATCTCCACCTATGTCTAGCTTTTTTGAAGTGATAGCATGATATTGGAGTAAAACAATTATGTATCGCCTCCCCCATCCTCAAGAGACCAAAAAATAAAGAAAAAGATATAGAATTTCCATATCAGCAAGTACTGAAATCAGATATATAATTACGAAGAAAACAATCTCCAGAAATAGCAGTTAAGGATCTGCAATGTTGAAGCTGTCTTTGAAACTGAAAAGATTGAAGCCCGTTCTGAAATAATTGAACCAGATATTCTATAGTGGTATCTCTGCCAAAGTTCCGGAAACAAAAGATACTCCTCATAAGTTGCAGCAAAGGTGTCACAACAATCCTCTCGATAAGGAGATGCATTTAGCTAAGAAAGAAGGTTTGGCAAATTACATTGATTTGCCTACTGCTAAAGAAAATTTTAAACGACAGAGATCAAGAGTGCAGCGGCTTGCTTCAGGTGACAGTATTACTAAGCTTTTTCATAAGAAAGTGGCTTCTCATATGATGAGTAACAAAATTCTCAACATTTCTGATGAGCAAGGCAACAGATTAGTGGAATGTAAAGCAATCAAGGAGAAAGTTGTTAGATTCTACAAATACGCTGGAAAATAGTATCAATCTATAAACAAATAAAATCTAGTACATAGTCACCACATAAAATGAAAAGAGTGATCTTACCTAGAGAGCAGCAGTTTTGGGAACGAGGGTATGGAAGAAGAAGAACAGGGCTGGAGAGCAACAGAGGGAAAATCTGAAAAGAAATTGAAAATTAAGTTTATGAAACACACAAAATTTATATGATACAAATGGAAGTGAAGCTGAAGAGAAGGAAACTATACCCAGTTAAATAGAGATTAGACAAAAAAATAACACATTAATAACCAATTAACGTTTATTTTCACAATTCAAACTTAATGCAATTGCGCATGAATAGCCTTACCTTGGAGTTGGTTGCAATAGCCAGTATTAAGGTTGTGAATTAAATTTCTTAGTGGTATTAATTAATTAATTGTATTTATATATTGATGGCTACCATATTTTGAATACAAAATAAGAACCTAACATATTAAAGCAGATTGTTTGAATACAAAAATAAAAATAAGGCAGATTGTAGGCCCTTTAAAAGACAATTTAACCAATTTAATGATAAAAAAGATCCGTCTAAAATTTGAACAATTTAACCAAAGCAAACACCCATCAAATTGATTTGTGGGGTGTAGTTTGTTCAAAATATTAAAAAAAGAAAGTCTGTATGTTTGGTTGTCTTTTCTTACCAATCAAATCAAACTTCAACTATTATTATTTTGTTTGTGTCTCTAATGAACCACATGAACTGAAATAAGAAACTCTAGAGACAATAAACAAAATTCGGAGTTTAAGAACGAAAAAAAAAAATATGATCATTTAGGACATAAAAGTATTAACAATTCTATTTGACAAATGTACCATCTATTAAAAAAAAATATTTGTAATAATTAACTGTCAATGCAATTAAATGCTAACCAGCAAACACTTTTTCAAGTACCAAACATAAGAAAAAGGCAATCATCCCTACTACAATTAACTAAATCAACTCACTAAAAATAAGACAGGGCGGCCTACTCAGAGCATGAAATTCAACCCTCAACTTATTCTAGATCCTTCGCTAGAAGGACCGTTTCAGTGAGGTGAAAGCCGGGAGCTCTACAACAGCTAAATCGTGATCCTCAAATGCTCCAAAAAAATTCTCTCATTTAGATTTGGATTCAATCACCTTCTTGGCGAAAGATGGCAAACAAAAAGCTGCTGCATGAATCTGAGAAGGAAAATAATCCGAAAATTGGGAAAACAAAAAGAACAAACTCAAATAAATAAATGAAACCATGCATATAAATGTAAAGATAAATTCACTGGAATGGGCAGAACCACACCTCTTTGTTGTAGAACTTCAAGGGCCCTCTTTGAATACTTTCTACAAAACCACACCTCTTTAATATGGGCAAAACCACACCTCTTTGAATACTTTCCATATACAAAATAAAAATAGAGCAGATTGTTTGAATACAAAAATAAAGCAGATTGTAAAAATAAGGCAGATTGTTTGAATATTTTGAAGATTAATCAAACTTTGAATATTTTCATAATATTCCTTTAAACCATGGTTGCTATATCCACCAAAACTATTCCTTTAAGAAACTCTAGAGACAATAAACAAATTCATAGTTTAAGAACAAAAAAAAAAATTATGATAATTTAGGACATAAAAGTATTAACAATTCTATTTGACAAATGTACCATCTATTAAAAAAAATATTTGTAATAATTAACTGTCAATGCAATTAAATGCTAACCAGCAAACACTTTTTCAAGTACCAAACATAAGAAAAAGGCAATCATCCCTACTATGATTAACTAAATCAACTCACCAAAAATAAGACAGGGCGGCCTACTCAAGAGCATGAAATTCAACCCTCAACTTATTCTAGATCCTTCGCTAGAAGGACCGTTTCAGTGAGGTGAAAGCCAGGAGCTCTACAACAGCTAAATCGTGATCCTCAAATGCTCCAAAAAAATTCTCTCATTTAGATTAGGTGCTACAAAAATCAACATTTTTTCTCTACTCTTTCATTCTCTTCAACACCGCACCTCATTACCAAACTCTGGATACTAATCTTAAAATGCAAGCTCCCATAGAGAGAGTGAGAATATTTTACAAAGCAACAATATGAAAGTAGTTTAAAAACCCAAGTACTCCATTTCAACCTTTATCTCATCCACTCAACCAAAGAAAATGCACTTTAAACTCTGGATACTAATCCTATGCTTGCTTGCCCTTGTTTACTTGTAGGGTTATAATAACAGAACAAAAACCAAACAAAGAAAAGATAACCCTGCTCTTGAAATCATAGAGAATGTTAAGCTCTTTGTGATATTCACGTCTTTCATAATGAGTGAGAATATTTTACGGAGCAACAACATGAAAGTAGTTAAAAAACCCAAGTACTCCATTTCAGTTTAAAAAATTCTTAGAATCTGAAACCAACAGATTCTGTAAATATGTAACCATATTTATAACATCTATATATACCCACAAATTTGAAATCCGTCTATAAATACCATATTTATAACTTAAGAAATATGAAATCCATCTGTAAATACCAAATCTGAAATCCATCTGAAATCCATCGATTAGCAATAAACTTGAGAAATCTAACCATATTTATAACATCTAATAAACAAATCTGAAATCTAACCAAATCTGAAATCCATGTATTGACTAATTCATGAAAACATGGTACTTAATTAACTTTAGATAGTGGTAAATAAATGCGATAATTTGTGTACTTACAGCATCATAGACTTGATTTGCTCTGGTTTCCATGTTAGCAAAAACTCCTAGATACTTGATCCACTCTGCTCTCTGAGAAATGACAATATTAAATTGGCTATCTGATCCATCACCACCATGGTTACATAACTTCCTAGTAAATCATATGTTCATGCATACATCAAGTGGCAATGTACATTTGAATTGCTCATATCCAAATGTTAGAACTGCTTGATGATAGACAATTCATTTACTTCTAAATTGCAATTAATGCACTCAATTGGTTAGAACTTAGAAGTCAGAACATAGCAAGTGTTTCACTATGTGGAAAGATGGATATGCTACATAAAATATATATGGAATAAAATGCAATGGTTCATGAAAATTTATCTTGAATATTATTCTAAAAGTGAGTGTGTGATGTAAATTTAAAGTTGATGGAATGTAGATCACACACACTCAAAATAGATGTAGACTATTGATTTTTTTTTTTTTTTCTATGTGATTTTCTAAAGTAAATCTTCTGGATTTGTAGCATTACTATATATGAAAGACAATTTTTTTTTAAAGTGGGCCTCATCAGCGAATTTTATAAAATTTTATTTCATTAATGCATGTTTTATGCTCTTTTCTGTGTTTGCAACAGAATGGAATGAAAATCAACAACTATATGGGTGAGTTTAGTATAGTCTTTTACTTTGGAAAATAGAAAATATAAGTTGACTCAGAAAATTTGCTTGCCAACTGTTTTTGAAAATTGAAGTTTTTTGAAAAAATCTTATTTGAATTGTTTTTTAAATTTTCAAAGTTACTTTCATAAAAGAATGAAAACAATTGGTGTTTTTGAACTACTCATTGTTTTTGTTTCTGAAAACTTGAAAAACAGAAACAACACCCAAAATGACGACCATAATTATGGCTATCTAAAGTGATTCAAATTGATTTTTTTTTCTTCTTCTTAATCAATCCACCCAAAAAAAAAATACAAAAACAAAAACAAAAACAAAAACAAAAACAAAAGAAAAGAAAAGTTGCTTACTCAATTGGCAATAAAGAAAGGGAATTTTGTCCAAACTAAAATCTAACAGTTATCAACACATGCATCTTCCCAAAGCATCAAAATAATTTTGGAATTAATTCCCTTTGGTTTTGTTTTCAAATTTTGTTTTAAAAAAAATGATCTGAAAACTTTGTTTGGCAATTTCTAAAAACACCCGTCTTTTAGAAAAACACTTTCAAAAACTTTTCCAAATTTTCAACAGCTGTTTTCAAACAAAAACGAAAACGATGAGTGTTTCTGAACTCATTATTTTTGTTTTCAAAAAAACAAAAATTTCGAAAACCATACCTCAGCTTGAAGTTTCTGGTTCTGAGATTGGAGAGCATCATTATCATCCTTGATAGCATCAAACTGTCTCTTAAGAACATCATAGTCTTTCTCTAACTGCTTTGTCTTCCACCTAGCCCTCCTGTTCTGAAACCATATAGCTATTTGTCTTGGTTGCAGCCCAAGAGCCCTTGCCAGTTGCATTTTCCTCTCAGATTCAAGCTTGTTTCCCAACTCAAAGTTCTTCTCAAGTGTTTTCACTTGTTCCAAGTTCAGTCTCCTCTTCTTCTCGCCAGCTTGTGACCCATCATCTGATAAGTCATCTTCAACCCCATTGGTTTCATGATCACACACTTCAATGGCTGAAAATGACATAGATCTCTTCCCCAGAAGTGATGCAACACCTGCAAATTGCCACCACCATTCAAAAATTCAAATCCTATATATATCAATTGTATTGGGATACATATCAGTATTTATCAGCTCATATGTATCAACTGATATATCGATGAGTAACATTTTTGGAAGTTAAAAATCTCAATATTCATTCCTCCCCCAGTTGGTTGAGTGTTTTTATTCCCCTTGGCCTTATTGGAAAGTTGAGGGTTCCCTTTGGCCTTACTTAAGAATGTGATTTCCTTTCGAATGAAATTCAAATCCACATCAAAGAGAATTTAATTGACTTCGATTGTAGCCTTCCAATGCAGATAAAAAATAAAAAAACATTACAGAGAAAATAAATGTAGGAGATAATGTAATTGAAGTCATTTAGCCAAGCTTTCCATAACCCTAGTCTACCAAAAAAACCAATTGTAAGCAGCCCTTTACTAAGAGTCCTAGTGTCGTACTACCACATCACATGTTTCTATTGTCATCAAAGTGTATCAGTGGAATTTCTCAAGTTTCTCACAATCTCAAATTTACACTTGCATATGAAATTTCTACCTCTAGTAACACTTCAGGTGTAAGCAATGAATTGGACATGATTTCTCACTCTTCTAGTCAATGGTTTCCACCCCATGAATTGAACAAATTTAGCATTTCTTGTCATCATTAGGTGTCTCTATATTGAAACCACCACACAGCTCTCTGTGTTGGTGTTAGAATAGCTATGTTTGGTGAAAAAGATGAACAACTGGAGAGAATGGAAATAGGACCCTAGGGAAGCGGCTGTGGGTTTCCTTCTTCTTGTTTGATTGAAAAGAAACGAAAATAGGAAGGAAGGAAGGAAAGGTGTGACGTTGTTACATGTAATTACTTGAGGTGGTATTTTACATTGTGCTTCAACTCCAAACAACTTCGAATTGGCAGATTTGGGTGCTGAATTTCACCAAGGATTGTTTATGTTTTATCTCCTAACCAAGTTGTGCTCTCAAGAAGTTTACATAACATTTTGACCTATCTCTATAAGTGTACATAAGTATCACTAATTTACAAAAATCAATTTTATCATAACAACCATTTCCAGATTGTAAGCAAAATAAGAAATAAGTGACTTCAAAAGGTGCATCGATTTCAAAAGATTGAGAGTATAATAACTCGGCATAAAGAACACACATAAAAATCAAACAAAGCGAAATGAAGAAGGCAGAAATTCCAAGAAAACGGAGGGCAAGAAGAGAGGGATTTGCAAGAAGATATCAGAGGGATTTACATACCATTTTGACCAATCTCTATAAGTGTACATAAGTATCACCAATTTACAAAAATCAATTTTATCATAACAACCATTTCCAGATTGTAAGCAAAAGAAGAAATAAGTAACTTCAAAAGGTGCATAGATTTCAAAAGATTGAGAGTATAATAACCCAGCATAAAGAACACACATAAAAATCAAACAAAGCGAAATCAAGAAGGCAGAAATTCCAAGAAAACGGAGGGCAAGAAGAAAGGGATTTGCAAGAAGATATCAGAAATCCAATTGGGTTGAAACAATCCATGGAATTTGAAAGAGAGAAGTGAAATACATACATACATACATACATACATACATACATACATACCTGTTGGCGTTGGAGCGAAGGCCAAGGTTCCATGTTGGGCCACTGGCGGCGGGTTTTCTCCGAACAGGAACAGCAAGACTACCTCTGCAGATTGAGTTTGGTCTAGCTTTAAAGCCCTAAAGTGATGAATGGGGATGAGGGAGCGGGAGATGAAGGGATTAAGGTTATGGCTGGGAGAGAGGGAGGAGGACAGGAATAAAGGGTTCGGGTTTGGGTCTCCAGCGAGGGAGAGGAGAGGTGGTCGGTGGTCGTCGGTGTCGCGACGGCGGTGGTCATCGCTAGAGAAGAGAGAGTAACGTATGAAAGAAATGGGAAGAAGAGAGAAAAGTTTTGAGGAGAGAGAGAGAGATGTATCTATGAAGGACAGATGAGAAGAAGTATTTAAGAAGAAGAAGAAGAAGAACAGAGAGGGAGAGGGAGAGGGAGAGGGAGAGAGAGAGAGAGAGGGAAGGGGGGGAGGCAGACAAGGGTAGGTGGGAAGGCAACAACGATGCTTTTAGGGAGAAAGTCTTTTGGGATATATTGATCTGAACCATTGATACAAACTTGGGATTAATTTCAGCCATTGGATCAAAATGGATCTCACATATATTTTTGACATAAATTCAAAAACCTTTGTGACTTATTATATAGATGCTTGGTACTATTAATTCCTCTCAACTGTACCATATTTTTGACATAAATTCAAAAACCTTTGTGACTTAATCAGGATTCAAGTTCCCCGCTCAAAAAAGTTACGAAAATGTTTTTTATGTTATGTAAGAAGCTTTTGGATTCAACAATCATGCGTAGATCAATCCCAACAAAAACTTGGTCTGTTGGTCCCACACGACATACGAACACAGATGCAAAGAAAACCCAGAGCCCTTGTTTGGTTACTTATAAAGTTGTAGAAATTGAAAACAATACAGATAGGCCGTTCAGTTACAGACAAAATAATAATAATAATAATAATAATAATAATAATAATAATAATTGCCCCACCGGCAGCCCCAAACAGAATCATTATACTGTATTTTGAATCAAAACAACCATTTACCCTAATCTATCAAAAACAAATACTATTTTTTGAATCAGAACAACCATGAGCAACCATGAAACAAACTCAAAAACATCACCATTTACCCCATTCAAATGTGCAACACAAAGCTCATTGTCACCAACAAACTAAAAAAATTTCTAAATCACCACAAACCCAACATCAATGGAACTTAGCGAATGAAAAAAAAAAAAAAAAAAAAAAAAAAATAGTGAAAAAAAAAGAAAGAAAGCAAGAGAGGCAGACACAGAGAAAGATAGATACTCACATTGATTGTGCCTTTCTTAGCAACGTTGGTCCAATCCTTAGCAGCCACACCAGTCTTCCAATCAAAATCAATGGTGATCGTAGACTGTGGCTTGTGATCTAGGGCCCAAAAGCAAGTCATGTAATCCCCAGCCTCAGCCGCCTGAAAAGAAAACTGTCCTGACTCCACAGATGTCACCTATGTCCATGCGCAGATGTCACCTAAGAAAAACCCAAAAAAAATCTACTGAGAAAAATTGAAAATAGGCCGTTTGGCAGGTGAGAAAATGGAAGAAAGTGAAAATGAAAAGATACCCTGACGGTGATTTTGTGAGATTCAGGGAAGGGATGGGGATCGTTGGGGTTGACTATGGTGTACTTGGCAACAGACATGGAATTGGTCTTGATGTATTCGGCTATGCACTTGCTGTGACCCGATTGGAGATCGAATCGGAGTGATTGGGCGGCGTTGGATATAAACCCTAAGAGGATCAGAAGAAGAAGAGAGATGACTGTGAATCCGTGAAGAACAGAGAGGGAGAGAGATGTATCTGTGAAAGAGATGTATTCAAGAAGAAGAACAGAGAGGGAGAGAGAGATAGAGAGAGAAGGTGGGTAGGTGGGAAAGAGAATGATTCATTGGGCGGGAGATCTATTGATCTCAACCATTGATATAAACTCAGGATTCATCTTGGCCCTTAAAACCAAATGTATCTCACATACATTTTTGACATAAATTCAAAAACCTTTGTGACTTATTATATAGATATATATAAATTAAATAAATTATGACCCAAAAAAATAAATATAAAAATAAATATATAAAAAATGCACTTGTATAGTCACCCAAACAACCCCTCAGTAGCCCTGCCCATTTTTTGACTTGATGGTTGATTGATTGGGTGGGTCTGGACCCAGCCCGAATTAACCGGACCAAACACCGCCTAAGCGAGAAGAAGATACGAAAGAGACTTGCGAGCGAAAGAGAGAGAAAAAGAGGAGAGAGAGAGAGAGAGAGAGATGGAAGGACCTCCGGCGAACGATCGTTGTTCGATATGCCATGGAAGCTTCAATCTTCCATGCCAAGCCAATTGCTCTCACTGGTTTTGCGGTTTCTCTCTCTTTCACTTCCCTCCTTTATTATCATATTCTCTACTACTGCTTCTATTGCTGTTACCTCTACATTTTTACTCATCAATTCAAGCAACTTCTTTCTTTGTGAGGTGATAGCTAGCTAGGTCACAAACGCAATCTTCTTTTACCCTGTTTTTTATTATTTTTCTCAATCATATATAGAAAACTAGTTTATGCCAATCATATAGAAAAAATAGTTTATGCAAATCTGAAGTAACAATTTCTAATCCATAGATACAACTTCTGAAAAAAAAACATATTAGAGTAACTAGGAGGTGTGCACACAGAAGGAGGATCTGTGACAAAACTGTTCATACAAGTGACCTGTGGACTTTATATAATAGTATAGATAAATATTTACAATAACCAATATATATATTTGTGCACTTGGATTTCATAAATCAAAATTTCTAGTTGCATAAAGAAAATGTTTTAAGATGACTGATTTTTTTATTGGCACCGGGGTGTTCGGATCAAAGCAGGACTAATCCCTAGGCGTGCACAGCCTTCAGCAAGGATTTTTTTGCAAATGCACCACGGTAAGGGTTTTCCTCAGTCTGATGGCCTCAAGGGAATACCCGAGGCCTTGCTACTAGGCCAACCCCTTGGGGTTTTTAAGATGAGTGTGATTTAAAAGACATGTTTTCAATTTAAGAAAAAGAAATTAAGAGAGGGAAGAGTGAAGGGAAAAGTATCATAAAAATGGAAGGGGAAGAATCATAATAAAGGAGGGTAACTGACTAGGTAGGTGCCAAAGGTAGGTGCCAAAGGTAGGTGCCAAAAAGAACCAAAAAATATGTATGTTCTTTGGGAAAATAAGACACTTTCAAGCATATCTTTAAAAATCTCTATTTTTTTATAATACATTTTGTCTTAATTTCCCAAAGAAAGTTTTTTTTTTTTTTTTTTTTTTTTGCACCTCTTGTTAAAACATGTGTTATCATAAAAGAGAGGTTATGAGATTATTATATATAAAATATAATATAAAAAAAAAACTTTCTTTGGGAAAATAAGTCTGTTTTATGCATCAAATAACGATGTGCATAAATAAGACAAAATGTATTATTGGCAAATAACTACTTGATGCTTTGTTGATTTGCCAAGACTGTGTAGGAAAGGGGTTAAAGTTTGAGTTTTCAAATTTGGAAACATTACTTGAGATTTTTTAACTAAAGATTTCCACTTAGATGGACCTCAAAGTAGTGTTTGGAACTTAGAATTGGTAAACAAAAATGAAGGTAAAATGGAGAACTATTTTCCTTCATGTTTTCCCTCTTCCTTTAAAAAATATGAGATTATTTATTTGTTTATTTTTAATGAGATGATAAGAAATCATGAAAAAGAGAAGGAAAAGGGATAATCATAACTAGAAACTTCATACATATTGATACAGTCATCTAAACCCTGTAAATATTTTTGGCTTAGTTAAGGTGACATATTTCAATTTCTTCTTTGGAAAGCAAAACAATATAATATACATGGTTTAATTTTGTTTGCTTTCCACTAGATTTCCAATGACAAAATATATTTTGGCTACTGACCTTTGAGTTTCTGCAATAATATAATAGATTTTGTTTCATGGTCCAGAATAACAACAACTATAAAGAAATCAAGCTAATGTGTCATCTAATGAAAGTGTGGGAGAGGGTGATGGAACGCCGATTGCGAGATATAACAGAGATGTCAGATAATCAATTTAAATTTATGCCTGGCAATCAATAATGGAAGCGATCTATCTTTTGAGGAGAGTAATAGAAAAGTATACAGAAAAGAAAAGAGACATTCATATGGTGTTTATTGACCTTAAGAAAGCATACAATAGAGTGTCTCGGGATATAATATGGTGGGTGTTAGAGAAGAAAGGGGTGACAAAATGTTACATTGATATGATTTAGGGACATGTATGAAGGGGTAGTGACCATTATTAGATCGCCTGCTAAAGAGACAAATGATTTTCCTATCACTGTAGGGTTACACCAAAGATCTACCTTAAGTCCTTATCTTTTTACTTTAGTTATGAATGAGTTGACGAGAAATATTCAGGATAGCGGTATGCTTTTTGCAGACGATATTGTGTTAGTAGATGAGACTAGAAAAGGAGTTAACATAAAGTTAGAGATTTGGAGAAAAGCACTTGAATCTAAAGGATTCCGGATAAGCAGAACTAGGACAGAGTACATGGAATATAAATTTAGTAACAGTAACAATGAAAGCAGAGGAGAAGTGAAGATTGAGAACCAAGAACTGTTTAAGAGTGAACATTTTCGTTATTTAGGGTCGATAATCACAACAGTGGGGGAGATTGATACGGATGTGACCCATAGGATTAAGGTAGGATCATGTCAGTGGAGAAGTGCGTTTGGAGTACTATGCGATAAACGAATACCCACTAGACTAAAAGGTAAGTTCTATAGAACGGCTATTAGATTAGCGATGTTGTATGTGACTGAGTGTTGAGCAACCAAGAAATAACATGTAAATAAGATGAATGTGGCTGAGATGAATATGCTAAGGTGGATGTGTGGCAGGACTAGACAAAACAAAATTAGGAATTAGTGTATTCGGGAATGAGTAGGAGTAATACCGATAGAAGATAAGTTGAGAGAGAATCAATTGAGATGGTTTGGTCATATTCAACGGAGATCAACAGAGGCAGTAGTGAAGAGATGCGATGTAGTGACGGTAGATGGAAGTGTTAGGGGATCGGGTAGGCCTAGATTAATGTTGACTGGCGTTGTAAATAGAGATATGGATCTACTTAATTTAACTATTGAAATGGCCTTTGATAGAGCCGCATGGAGGAGGAGGATTCATGTAGCCGACCCCATTTGATGGGACTTAAGGCTTGGCTTGGTTTGGTTTGGTTTGGTTGAATGTCTTATCCACCATTAATGTAAGCTAAATGAAAGCAGTTCTTCTGGCAACAGAAGTTTCACTGTTACCAATATTGGTTAAGATGCTTCATGGAGGGGCTAGCCATTGTACTAGTTAGTTGTGTGCACACATGATGCATGATTATCTCTTATGTTATCGATCTTTGCCTTTCTCATGTAAATTCGTAGTATGTTATTATGATGTGAGATCTACAATGAGGTTGATATTTCCCTTCAAATTTAATAAAAAATGACTCCTCCAAAAACCCAGGCAAAGTTGAATTGCCTAAGTTGAATATGACTTTTCCTTTTTCAATTGCATTAATTTGGTGTTGAGGTAATTACTTGGTGCTTCTCATTCAGGTAATTGCATTCTTCAAGTTTGGAATTATGGATCAGCCCTTCAACCATGTAAATGTCCTTTATGCCGTCGTCAAATTACTTTGTTGATTCCCAGTGATGCTTCATCACGGCAGCGTCATAATTCTGACGCTGCTGAGATTTTGGGAAAGATTGAAAGATACAACCGTTATTTTGGTGAACGCTCAAATGGTCTTATTCAGGTAGATCTTAATGTATATACAATATTTCCTTGGGCCAGCAAATTACATTTTGTAGCTTACATTATCTTAAATGGTGGAATTTGTGAAGTTGTGATTCATAACTACTTGGGTGTTAGCATTCATAGCATACTTGACAAATACCTAATGAATAAATCTTGAACAAATACCTAATGAATAAATCTTGAACAAATCCAAGAACTTATTGGAAGGTCTTCAATATTAGCACCATTGGTGACAGTTGCTGTACAATTCATGCAATTTTCATTTGACAAATTGCTATTTATCAACATGAATTTTGGTATGTTCAATAGTCCATGAAATTATTTTACAAGGCTTTTAACACCTTACCTCACTTCTCCTCTCTTTCGTTTGAAGCATATAAGTTTTGCATGGATGAAACATTTTGATACTTTTAGAGGTCAGTTTTCATTATCTCATTTTCTGCTGCTGGTTTTGCATTTGTACTCATAATATCCGCTCTTCTTTAGTTGACACTAAATACATCCATTGTTAGGTATTCAAAAGTGGCTAGTAGTGTTTATGTGGTTTGCTTTTCTTGTTGGTAGGATTAGTGCCCGCATGCACTCTATACAATCCTTTGAAAGTTTGGTGTCTGCATAGATTCCAGTTTGTATTGAAGTGGGACTGAATTGATTCAAAAAATAGCAGAAGTGTTGAGTCGTTTGAAATTGAGACCACATACTTGGCATGTCCCCTCAATGTGAAGAGAAATCTATTGTAAAATGAGGATAAGGTCATGACTAGGAGCATGACCAAAGGTCGTAAAAATGCACATATGATGGTATGATTCTTGAAAACAACTTAGGTGGATCTCTGTAGGCAGTTGAAATACTCATTTGTGTTGGAGTTGAGAGTGAGAAATCTTCAGTGAGAGCAATGGACCCAAGTGGAGAGTGGTTGTCAATTCACTCTTTCGTTTTAGAAATAGAGAGAGGTATGGTGATGGGATATTGGAGTACCAGTTGGTGGGTGATAAAAAAAAAGTGATACGTCGTAATTATTATAGTAAGCATATATATATTAATAAAGGGTAAAGTGGATACATGCTATAATTGTATTGGATTATAAGTTAGTAATATATCCTGACTCAGATAATGGGTACAGGCTATGTTTAAAAAACTTTGAAGTTACAAGAATGTCCTTAAATGTTGGAACTTAGGGTTTGTTTGGGAAGTGGGTTGATTTTTTGACTTTTTGATTTTTTTTGGCTATTTTAGCCTGGAGCTAAAAAGCCTGGTTTGGGAAGCGCTTTTGACTTTTTTGGCTTTTTTGACTTTTTTGTGAGAGAAAGAATATAATGATTACGGGTTAGATGTGATATTTTGTCTTATTGGGCTAAAAAGCCTACTTTGTTTTTTGTGGCTAAAATAGTCAAAGAAGCCCCAAGTTGGGCTTCACAAACGTAGCCTTAATAAAGCATGAATAAAACTAACCACAAGCATACAAATTTTAACTAAACATAAAATAAAGCTCTACAAAGACTAAAATTGGATTATGAATGTCCCAAGTGGGTTCCAACTCAAAATGACCAAATTCTAAAGTACTTTAATTTGCTTTTTTCGGAGGCTCTTACTGCTTGCATCATGCATGTTATCTGTCACACAACATGATAGCTCCAAATGGATACAGGTGTTGTTTGCATTAACATTTTTATGAATAGGTGTGTCTCCTCTATTAGAACAAAGTTCCGAATGTTGCTGGTAGGCCTTAAAGAATGCAGAGATTGGAATGCCTTGATGTCCTGTAACCTTTTTCATGAAATAGCAACATTGGTTCCTTCTTACCAGTAATTTGTCTTCTTTATAATGAGATGATACGTAGTAATAGTATGTAGTAATTTGTCTTCTTTTTTGCAAGTTCTCTGTTCTGCAGTATCTACGGTTAAGAACAGTAGTTGCACAAATATAAGAAATCTGGATGCAGTTATGCATTCTGAACTATTAAGCTACTCCATATACAGAATGCAGCAAGATGTCTCCTGTTGTGGAAGAACGAATACTTGGCATTTGGCAGGAACATTGGAGCAGTTTGTTTTGGTTATTGGAATGATTTTACAAATCATTTGGAGCCCTATTGACAACCTGAGGTGTTCAGAGTTGAACTTTTTGAGAAAAAAAACCACGGTGTTAAGAGTAGGAGCTTTTTATCTCCATTTCTGACCTATGTATGAACCCTTCTTTCTCTAAGCTCTAATCTTTGCTTTAGGTTGCAATTATTACTTATTTAATATCCAAATTGAATAGAATTTTTTTTAATCTGATTTTATACTTTGGTGGTTTCTATTATTATAGTCTGGTCTTGATGCTGTAGATTATTTTGTTTTTGTATCAAGATGATGATTATGATGGTGTTTTTAAACGATTGCATGTCTAATGTCCAAGCTCCTTTCAAGCATTTATAATAATTTCATTTACATTTTAGAATTCTGTGGTATATCATATTGAGTTGATATTTGAAAGAAAATCTCTTTTTGACAGAGATTGCGAGACCTTCCTTTTCTCCTCAGGAGGTTGTTTCGTGATATAATGCAGCCTCAACGATCTCTTCCGCTTGTTATCAGGGCACGCGTCTATTTGGCAGTTAAGTTGATGACACAACTGCACAAGTGACATGCATTTAAGTACATTTTTGTCATTTCATCTCATGTAGTGTTCATGTGCTGATTTCACTTGCAACAAGGAGTCACAAGCCTCTTTCAGTACACAAACATACACTCATTTTTGCCCTCATCATACTGGTGTTGTCATGCTTTTATTTATTTTTAAACTTGGGGGGTGGAAGCTACGATAGAAGTTCAATCATAAAAGATTGTGGATATCTGGAAATGATATGTATTTTATTGGGACATGTTCGGCTAATCATTTGTAGAACTACCCCAATATAACAACTACCCCAAAAAAAAAAAAAAAAAAAGAAAGAAAAGAAAAATTATAGGGAGTTAATCATACACACTTCCAAAGAAAAAGTATCAAGCTATAAAAATTTGTTATTGGTGACCATTGTTGTCATGTCAAGGATTCATATGTCATTCATATGCCATTGTTGTCATTCATATGCCATTGTTGTCATGTCAAGGATTCATATGCCATTAATCTGTGATTGCTTCTTGCTCATCAAACATTTTGCTTTTTATGCTGTCGATTGTATTGTGTTGGTGTGTGTGTGTGCGCACTAGTGCTTGTGCTATTGAGTATGTGATCATTTTATATCTTGCCACATCAAGTAGAAATTGTTTCATGTAACATAACATTTGAGTCATGAAGGGGACATCTACTTCCATATTCAGATTTTTCTGTCTTATGTGCAGATGTTTGTAAGTGCTATCTACATTATCAGCCCCGTGGACATCATTCCTGAAGGTACATTGCTTTTAGTATTTTTTATTTTTTATTTTCTTGAAAAAGCTTATTATATGTAAAGGGAGATACAGGGAATAGCTATAACTAAAGGCCACAAAACAGTTAATTCCAAGAGACTATCATAGGGTAAAAAACCTAAAGAAACAGAGACAAGCACTACAAAGCTTGATGATTCGCATCACAGAAAGCCATGAATATCAAGCGCCAAGCAAGACAAGCACCCGGGACAGCTACCACCAACAGCAATGACCCCTGCAAAGAAACCATAAATAAAGCACAAACATCGAACTCCTTAAGTGAACCAGTAATTTTGTTTTGATTTATTCTGACTGGTTTGTTTATAACGTATTATTGACTACTGATTTTTGCAGGAATATTAGGAATAATAGGTCTGTTTGATGATGTCCTTATAGCACTCATCTGCTTCCTTCATGTTGCTGCCCTTTATCGCTCTGTACTTCTTTTCCGTCACGGAGGATCTTGATATGCCCTGAAGTGTTGGAACCACAAATGCCGAGCAAAATGAAGAAGGAAAAGAAGGGTGGAAGGAATAAGAAATATATATCTTCAAGTCACGTCACCTCACGTCAGAAAAATATTTGTTATATTTTTTTTGAAAAATTATCAAGTTTTCAGTTTATGTTTGGAAATTTTTTCTTTTCTTTCTTTTTTGTATTTAATATGCGAGGAAATGACTTTGATTTAATGTTTGGTGATGTAGTGGATATGTTATGTTCATGCATGTTATGGTAACATTTATGAAGTTCTATGAGTGAACTTTTAATCTCTATTATTTATTTAAATATTTTGAATATGAAAATAAAAGGTTTATATCCCTGTTCCTGTAAAGTTGTATCAACATTTACTTCGTACTGATGGATTTGGCAATGGAAATTTTTTTTTAAGATCCTGATATTAAAATTTTATAAGATAAAGAAAATATAATATTTTCATAATAATTCAGGCTCCTCAATATCTCTATAGAGAAAATTTAACTCGAAGAAATTTTGTCTAGCTTAGATATTTTAATTTTTTACAGAGAAAATTTCTTTGTAATCCTACTAGAAATTTTTCAAAATTTCTTTAAGTCAGTTGAAATTTTTCCGAATCTGGTAAAATTTCTCTAAGTCAGGGAAAAAAATTTTGAGCCGAATTTTTTTTGTAAAAATATTAAGGGACCTTAATTAATAAAAAAAATATCTTCAATCTCTTTTATTACACAAAGTTAGAGATAAATGTTTCACTAATTTTTTTTTTTTTTGGGCAATCTCCTTATATTCATTGAAAAAAGCAAAAGAATAGAGAAGCACTATATTCTATTGTATTTTCAACAGGGGTGTGGTGATGTGTGGGTAGAAAATGCAATAAAAAAAATGGTGTCCGTAGACAGACAGATTTTACATAAATATAATCAAAGGATCTTCCTAACAAGTATCACGGAAAAAGTAAAAATAATAATGAAAATAAAAGTTACTTTCCATCAACATCAAAATATTTCATTGATTTAGAAGAAGAAAAAAATTCTATTCTTATCACTTTCGAGAGGCACCACCTACCTCTTGTAAGATGCAAATCCCACTAATCATTCAGGAATTAAGAAAATCCCAAAAAAGATAAATCGGCCTTTTTCATATCATCATATTCCTTAGCATGTTTCCCCAAGCATTCCTGATTTGATTTTTATTTTTAAATTTTTATTAAATAAAGATAGAAGAAGAAATACAAACGAGAACAATTTACGTCCGCCAAGAAAAGTGAAAGACGATAAGGTTACATCTCAGACACACCCCTCCAACCTCCATTAATCGAAAACAAACAAAAGGTGACATCCAAAAAGAAAATGGCATTCTAAGGTGAATTCCATTCTCTAGTTTTGAATCCACCACCCAAGACTGAAAATATTTTGCATTACATTAAGTTGGTTACAAGAGATGCAACATAGCATTTCAATACTCAGATTACCTCCTTTTGGGGGAGATGGGTAACAAACAACAAAAAGACAGATTACCAGTGGCAAAATTTTTATCAGATGCCAAAATCCATCCAGATACTCTTTTCATGATAGCAGAACTATGCTTAACAGCTTTTTATTGTCAACTCCACCATTTAAATTCAGCCTTCCACACAAATCAGTCCCCTTAACATTCATTTTAGTTCTAAAACATCATGACGCCCCAAAAGATTGATTTAATAAAGTACGATTGATAAACTGCAGGCTTACAATGTTCCAAACCAAGCCTGCCTCGTTTTTTTAGCTTAAAAAAAGGAAGGGTGGCTGGCCAGAGGCAGCTTGACCCATGCACTATGAAGTATGGATACTTGTAAAAGGGAGTCATATCGATATCGTATCCCGATACTCCTTAGATCCTTGCGGATAGACGTATCCGATACTTAATGTTTGTTTTGAGAGCTATCAGATACCTTTCGGACTCTCCACGTCATGCATCCAAACTACTATGAAATTGAAATTGTAATAATTTTTATATATAGTATTAGAGTATAATTGTTAGAACAAATATAAGGATATTTTTCAATATTTTCTTATATCTTTCCCCAATAAAAAAAAAAAAATTAATGAGATTAAAGTAGCACTGTAGCTTAACCTATCCACTAGAAGCATAAAAAAAAAGTAAACAAACTATTGACTTCCTAAAGAATGGTTTCTTACTATTTTTTGAGCTCATGTATAATACCAAATTTTTTCACAATGTACCCTAATTGTACCGGTATCCTATTTTTTTAGATTGTCATATCTCCGTATCCACATTGTGTTGTATCCCATATCTACATCCATGTTTCATAGCCTGTGCAGGTTACCACCCACGGAAAATCTGTCTCTAGCCTCCAAACCACAACCCCAGGTCTTGAGTCAAGCTGCACGGGGAACACACCAGCATGCCCATGGCTTATGCACCTAAGTAGGGCAATTGTGGAGGCATGCAAAATAACTGCTGTAGCATCAAGACATGCGGCCTACTTCCATGGTGAGGAACCTCACGGTGCAGTATCGCAGTATCAGGATGTACTTAATTACTCTGATAAAGCTACTTTGGCTACACATGCATCCCTCAAAGGGAGGCATGTGTAAGCTTTGTACTGACATGCCAAACATATGTCATCATCCACATGCCCACAACACGTCTCACAAAGGAGATGCCACATTTTTTCTCATGCGCATGTCCGTTATGTGGTGTGGAGACATGTACCAATTTCTGGGCTTGAATTATATAGGAATGTGGGAGAAAGATAAAATTTCTCCCTAGAAGCTTGTGTGCCAATTGACACACTCTAAATCGTTGTGGATTTTGCCACGCATTCATGAGTGTAAATCATGTGTTTTCATCGTGTAAATGGAATGTCATCAGTCAAGCTCTTTCGCAGTCATGAAGTGCCAGCTAAATGCAAAGGGTCATGATAGTTTCCAGCAGGCACTTCATCTCATGTACTTTGCAAGCGCCTTTTGAAAAAGTATATTAATGTGGTTTGTGTATTATTGGAGTACTGAGTCGATGTGGTCTTCCCTCTAAATAACCAATTGGATGAACATAGTATGTATATATGAGTCGGCTTTGGATATGTTACATGATTTGTGTGAATCTTCATTTTATACATGGTAAGTGGTAGTATCTCATATCTCTTTCAGTTAAATGTTCAGCTATATATGTTACAAATTACAATGCATTGTAATGCCATCCATAGTACCTAAACTGCTCCTTTGTTAGATTATTCACTAGATTATGGCTCATCCCATTATTCTCACATATTTCCAGGAAAATGTCATTGTGTGTATATATAAGCTAAGCTTGGTGACTCTTATATGTGATAAAGGAAGCTTGGGACTTCTTTTGTTTTTTTCAGACTCATATTATAGTTTTGTTGTATATGTAAAGCCATGTAACTAAATGTCCCTTTTGCATTTTGAGGCCAAGTTAATGTTAAAAGTTTAGCATTTTATTTATACTTCAGCACCAGCTCTGACCACATGGTTCACCCTGAAATTCTCTCAAATTATGTAAAATATGCTTCCACTATGATTGAACAAACTAATAACAAGTGGACTCACTTGACCCTCAATATAAGCAGGCCTTTGGTAGCAATGGGATTGCTACCAGCCGGTCACAAGATGTCCATTCCTTCATAGGCCTTATAGGAATTCTAAAATATCAAACATTCCAAAATACCACAATGAACCCTTCCAAAACCCTAAATTCATCCTTAAACCTAGCCCTTTAATCCATAAACCCCAATGCCCAATTACCCTGCCATCCTAGCCCTAAAAAAATATAGAGTTTCCCCTGTTCTACAGAATCCAGAAAGCTCTATTGCTTTTATTATACTAAAACCAGCTTTAAACCTCAACCTTCTCAATTTCAAATCCACTATTGAACCTCAATCTTAACTTTTAACCATAAAACCAGAAAGTTAAAGGCTTAGCCACCTACCTGATTGTTAGGCAGCTGTCTTAGCGCTACCTCCTACATCACACCCTCTTTCGAAAACATTCAAGGGTGTAATGCCCTAGGATGACCACAAAGGTGGAAGAGTCCAATTTAAATGTCATCTCATAAAAGAACAGGGAAAAAAGCCCATGTCATCTAATTCACAATCTGAAATCAACCACAGGTTGGGATTGCAGGATACATTCACCCGTCGTATGCATTGTAAACCTTGCACCTTACGAATAAATACTTGTGCATGGAGTAGAGAGAAATTTGATGAATGTATTTAGAAGCTCCCTTCTCCGAGAGATATCTGAAGATTAACCCAAACTTACTTTGGTAATAACACTAACTTTGCTCTGTTTTAACGCTTTGGCACATGAAAGATGCATTTAGTTTTATGTTCAAAGGTTAAGTAATCCACATTAGCAACTCCAAAAAAATTTGTGTTGCCCTAACTAAAACTCCAGAACCAACCTATACATTTCACTCAAATATATACCATGGAAACATCCCATCATATTTTGATATACATTATTCCATAGCATTTCGGGGCAAAAATCCATCCTTCAGAATGAAATCAGGAAAGAAGTTAAATAATTGCAGCATCATGCACCAATGCCACAGGGCCAAATGGTCAAATTTCACGGAAAAGAAAAAATAAAAAATACCATTCCGCTACGTTTGTATAAATAATATAGGATACACTTATTTTAAATTCCAAAAGGAACTAGTTCAATAAGCTACAGAGAACAATTTTAATCGCAAGAATCGAGAGTCAGGGTGTGTAGGAGTGTTATTTCTATAGGATTCAAAAATTAAAAAGATGAAAAAAACTACCAATATCAGAATATTCAATGGGAGATCCAAAATGAGCCCTCGGGTCGTTATTGGACCACGAGAAGGCATACTGGACCATGCACGAACCATTTAGTCTTTATTTTAAAGATGCAAATCAGAACGCTTGCTAGCCAAAACAGGAAGTAGTACAGACCAAAAAATTATGTGTAGAAAGTAACGGACTAACAGACAAAATGCATGTTGAGGACTTTTGGTGAAGTGATTGCACACAACAGCTCACAAAGTTTTGCCAATTTTCCTTCTGTAAAATTTTGAATAATACCACTAGCTACATGAATGCAATCAGCAAGAATCTTGGCACATGCTCTTGCATCAATTGCAGATAAAGTTGACAGCAAAATTGGCAAGTCATTTCTCGTGCATAATTGCTATTTCTTGCCAAAAAAATTATCAACCATATTCAGAAGGAGCTGATGGAAAACATTCAAGATTTACATGTAACAGCCAAAAAAAAAACTTTAAATTAACTAGCCAAAACAGTCGGGCAGAGAATTGACTTACGAAAGTCTAATTCAAGTACACAATTTTATCAGCAGTTGGTTTTGCAACTAACTAGAAGCCCTCAACATAGCTAAGCAATACCCTGTCCAAATATGCTTGCTCATTGAATCTGTTGGACAATGAGAATACAGAGTTGATAAAGAGAATAGAATTGGAAAATAAACTAAATCAAGCACTGATAATTAATTACAACCTTGAATCTGTTGATGTTCTGTAGAATTCTTTTGACATCATCCTCCTAAACTTTGCTGGTTACTCCAAGCCTGGAAAACATCTATTATACCATCCATGCTCTACTACCATTTATGATAGCTTTTACAAAGCAATCAAAGTCATGTCATCATGAGTTTATAACCATAAAACAGAAATTTTCTAAAATCATACAGACACATCCATTTAGCAAAAGCACTAGTGGTTGGAAGATTAAAATTTTTTATTTAAAATTTAAAATTTATAAAAAAAAAAAAAAAAAAAAAAAAACTGCTTCCCACAATCCAACAGAATCCAGAAGTGACAATATTTTCTCCTCTTTTTTTCTTTTTTCTTTTTTCTTTTTTTTGTTAAGTAACTTTTGCAACTATCAAAGAATTACATGAATATTTCTTAATCCGAAATGCAGCTACCATATGCACAAGTATAAGAGATGAAACCATGTAACAAAGGCCTAAGTGCTCATTTTGAACTGAATAGTTAAGGACAAAAGTCAGGCTTACAGACATAATTCTGGGACATCCAGAATGATGGATAAAAAAATTGAGAACAGGCTTATCAAAAATGTAATTTTTGCTGTACATTTATTTTGAGGATGTCCTACCAAAAGAATCATTCCCACTAAGATGTTAGCATGATTACGACAAAATGTATTTCAAAACAAACAAACAAACTAAGCCTTGTGTCTCAATCAAGAGGGGTCGGCTACATGATTTTTTTTTTTTCACACAAAATTTGTATTTCATCTATAGGTAAATTAAAGACAAAGTGTAATACTATATTTTTGTCGTATTTTCTGATAAGTAATAGTAGAGAATAATATGAGAACCAAATGAAAAGGAAAGTTGTCTAACATAAACGAGAAGGGACTGTAATACTCAACACTGTCGGAGGAAGCACATACATGCGGATAACACATTCAAAAGGCCAACAGATGAAACTATGACACAAAGGCCCAAGTACTTATTTGCAACTGAGTTTTAAAGAACATAGACCAAGCCTACAGACACACAATTTATCTAAGGCAATTGCAGAAAAATAAAAGAAACAAATTTCAACAACTAGTTAAGGACTTGCATTGTGCATTTCTTTTGAGAATGTCCTAACATGTGGCAGCGACCACATTGAACAACTCTCTTTGGACGCTTTAAACTCTCCACGCGAAGAACCTTCTTTTTGGGCCTGCCAGGAGGCCGACGGGTCTTGGGTGGGCGTATCATGATGTCAACTTTGGCACCTCCGCCCTCAGTTCCCTCACCAAGCTCCTTCCATAGGCTTTTATCTGGAATTGGATTTATCATCTGCGAATAGGTTTCACGGTAGCTATCGATTGTGAAACAATGCTCAGCAAACAAATGAGCATTCTGCCCGCATGAGATGAGTGCAGCAGCAGCATGTGCACATGGCAAACCATAGAGTTGCCAACGTCGACACGAACACACTCTACTCCGTATGTCCACAATATTTGTTCTCTCGGTCGACACAATCTCAAATTCAACTTCATTTGCACGAAGTACTTGATAGCAACGAGCATCTGCAATTGCCTCTGAAATCCTCTTCTCAGCTGATGGTACAAGAATCGAGGTCCATCGCATGCTTATATTACGACGCTCCGTGAACCAAGATATCATCTGATTGCGAATGTGCTCCATCATCTGTACAATAGGGAGCTCATGACATTCAAGTGCCCAGTTATACAATACTTCTGTGACCCCCAATGTGAAATGCCCATATCGTACCCCCTCAAAATAGGCAACAGCCCATAGCTGGGGAGGAAATTGCTGAAACCACATTAAGACATCTTGTGATATTTCTATCATCTCGGTGATTTTGCCTTCGAATTCAGCTGCTGTAAGTGCATAAACAGCATTCCAAAAGATATTCACCAACTTTGAGTTCTTAAATGTATCGCGAAAATTCTCACTGACATAACGCAAGCAAAAACCATGAAAGGCACTCGGGAAATGAGTCTCAACTGCCTCCACAATACCCGGTTGCCTTTCAGAAAGTATAGTAAGTCTGGGCATGTTATCAGTATTTACTCCAAGAAGCTTCCTCAGTTCTGACATGAACCACATCCAATTCTCATCACTATCTGAATCAACAACAGAGATTGCCAATGGAAACAAGGCATCATCAGCATCAACAGCTGAAGCACAAAGCAGTGCACCCAAATATTTCCCTTTGAGATGTGATTTGTCAAGTTCCAAAAGTGGCCTACAAGAATTTATAAAACCATAGATTGACGCCCTGTACGATATGAAGAGGCGCTGAAAGTAATTGTCTTGTCCAGTGGCAAAAACAGATGCAATGCTTCCTGGGTTAGTTTTCCTAATCTGTTCACAGTATGCTGGTAAAAGTCTATACCCTTCTTCAAAAGTCCCATGTAAAGCAGCCATGCTTCGCTCCTTCCCACGCCAAGCTTGCATATAAGACACAGCAACACCATGCTGATCCCGAATATCTTGCAGAATTTCTTTGGGTTTATACTGAGGATTATCACGAACCCTCGCTTCAACAGACCTAGCAACCCATCCCACCGATGCTTGTTGATGATGGAGATTTCTCACTCCCTCACAAGTATGCTCTGCGTGAAGGGTCCTAATAGAAAATGTAGGCACTCCCGGACATTTCGCGACATGTACACGCCACGGACAACCTTCTTTCGAGCATTTAGCTATAAACCGACTACGATCAGATTTCACAATCCTAAGATCAAAATGCAATGCTATAGCAATATCTTTGAGTGCTCTTCGGCAACTCTCGACGTCAGGAAATTCCTGCCCGATAACTAAAGAATGATCTTCTACCAATACAAGAGATGAATCGGGAAGTGTGGTCAAGGACTGATCAGCCATAAAATCTACCAAAAGAAAACAAAAACAAATTTTCCAGCTTGTAATTCAAACCCTAATCTTCCTCATCATGCTGTCTCGCCTATTGATCATCACCAATACAAAACCCCTCCATCCAATGAGGTATCTCTTGATTTGCTGCAAGAGTAAAGGAGAAATACACATTCACTTCCCAATAAAATATATTATCTATATGCATGCATTGAATTCATAGAGTAGAGTGATTGGCGAGCTTATTTTGAGTTGAGATTTCATGTTTCTGTATAAGGGTTTTGATTTATTTGTCATAACCCAATCAGGGTCAGACTCGATGAAGTTCTTTGCAGAGAGAGAGAGAGAAAGAGAAAATCACCTTGTGTGCTCGGAATCGGTCCTGTGTGTAAGATCCAATACGCCGGAGGGGAAACGAGCGGCGAAGAGGTGGTGGCGCCGAGTGTGAAAGTAGAGAGAAACAGATTTCAGAGAGAGAGAGAGGTCATCGGCGATGGAAGAAGACGGTGAGGATGGGTTATTTCAGAACCCTAATTTGTTTCACACGAAGGTATTCATTCATTTATTCTTGGTCTGTGTCAATCTTGGTCCTCCTACTGCCCCTTATTTTTACTTTTATTTTTTTGAATGCATTAAAAGAAGTTTTTTATGTTAAAAATAAAATATAAAAAAAAGATAAATTACACTGACACCTCCTAAGGTTTGATTCAATTATAATTTATTTTCTAACATTTTGAAAATTATATTCTTACCATGTTATTAATGGTCTCATTCACAAATCTCCTACTTATATAAAAGGCAACAACACTAATATAAAATTAAAAAAAGAAATTATATTGAGAAAAAAAGAAAAAAGTAAACAAATGAAGGGAAAATAAAAAATAGAGAAAGCAAAGTCAATTAAGAAAAGAGAAAGTATATGAGTATAATATTTTCATTCCGTCTAAATAATTACAATGAAGGGGTTAATGTAATTCTCCAAACATTAGGGAATGATATGTATTAAACTCAAATCTCAGGGGATGGAAGTGTAATTTATCTATATAATAATGGAAGAGGGTTTTTGAAAATATATAAAAATGTATCAGAGATACATTTTGATTTAATGGCTGAGATTAATCCTAAAAGTATATTAACGGTGCAGATCAATGTGATTCCCGCTCAAACATCTCTCCCTCTGCCTTCCACCTACCCATGTCTCTCTCTCTCTCCCACTCTGTTCTCACCCACATCTTCTCCCCATTCCCTCTTTATCTCTCTCACCCTCTCTAATCTTCTTCTTCTCTCTTCATACTGACGCTGCTCACTTCTCCCTTTACAACCCTCATTCATCGCTCGGCTTGCAAGGTAAGATTTCCTCGATTTCTATCTCTCCACTTCTCCCTCTATTTCGATTTATGTTTCCCTGTTCGATGCTTTGGCGCTGCTCTCGAAGTCTCTCTCTATCGGGTGAAGGAGATTCCAAGATTCAAAGTCAAGAACCCTAATCGTGAATGAACTAAAACCTTAACTGCCACTAATTGTTTGAATCCATAACTAAAATCTCGAACTCTCTCTCTATCGTGAATGAATTTATTGATTCTATCTTATTTTTTGAATCCATAAGTGTAACTCCCACAGCTTCTGTGATAGATTGGGGTAAATAGGTATTTAATCAATGGAACATATTTTTAACTCCTATTTTTGTCATTTAATTTCAGCTTTTGTGATAGATTGGGGTAAATAGGTATTTAATCGTCTGATTTAACATTATATTGAAGCATTTTTTACTTCTTCATCCCCACCTCCTAGCAGACATGCAGTGAGTTGCATATTTCACTAATCACAGAAAACATGATTTGGCTACTATTGTGAATATAGTTTGCATGTGTAATTTTCTTTGTATTATATTCTTGATTTGTTGAGTTATATGATTGTCTCACATGTATTTTAGGGGACGACTGTGATTCAAACAGTGAGGGACACATGGTGGATGGAATTTTGACCTCTGGCACAAAGTCAACTTATGAATACCATCTCAAGCAGATTTAATACGATGTGCTTTTGCGGGAGATGATGTGGAAGATGATTTTGAAAAGGATAAAGAGGATGTATTAAATGAAGAAAATCCTGAACCTGAAAAACCTGTTTTACTCCCTGGCTGGGGCCAATGGACTCACATACAGAAAAAGAAGGGCTTACCCTCTTGGATGGTGGAAGAGCAAGAGAGTGCCAAAAAGAAGAGGGATAAAGTTCTTAAAAATAGGAAGGATGCTAATCTTAAACATGTGATCATCTCTGAGAAGTTGGATAAGAAGGTGAGTAATCTTGATTTTAAGTTTCACTAGACTTCCTTAAATTTTTGCTTTGTGCATTGCAATTGAATATGGAGTTCACTGAAGAAAAAATTAGATGGTTGAAGCCTAAGGGATATCAAAACAAATTCTTGCATGGTGGTATATACCTGTTTCTGAGTAGGAAAATTGAGCAAATGAATAAGACAAGCTCTGTGTAGTTGAAAATTTGCAAATTTTGGTCAACAATTTAATAAGATGAATGTGATCAATTTTTCACAATTAAAGAATTTATGAATCTGAAACTTGACAATTGACATATTTGGAAATTTGACAATACAAAAAGAATCTCCCTGCTATATGATGTCAAGTTAAAGGATCAGGTTGTATTAGTTATTTTGCCCCACTAAAAAAGAAAACCTATTTGCATGGGAGCTAAATTAATAAAAAAAAAATTAAGACAATGGAATTTACCTTCTTAGTTGGTTGATCCACAAGGTCTTCCAGTTGAGGTAAACATTTGCAAGTGTTCAGTGTCGCGGATAAAAGATATCATATGTATAGAAGCTCTTTTATATGGTTTCATTGATTAATGGCTTCTTCTCATGTATTTGGACTTGACAAGCTGAAAAACTACTTACAAAGGCATTGTCGTACCCATACACATCTAAAGAAGTGTTTGAACAGAGCATCCGAATGCCTATTGGACCTGAATTCAACCCAGTGATAGCGGTTGGAGCTCTTAATCGGCCGGAGTTCAATTTGTTGTCAATACTCTAATCACTATACATTTTATTGTTTTGTACACTGAGTTCAATTTGTTGTCAATACTTTAATCACTATACAGTTTATTGCTTTGTACACTAAGTTTAATTTGTTGTCAATACTCTAATCACTATAAAGTTTATTGCTGTGTACCATTAATAGTTTAGCACTTTTAATTGTGAACCTCAATTCAAAACTTCCCCCAAATGGATTTATTGTACACAAAGTGATATAATATCTGGGTTTATTGAGGTCATTTGTTTATTAAACCCTATTAGTTTTCAATTGCTTTCTCTATACTTCCCTGTATGATCAAAAGGTGCTTCAGTTTATTATTTCCCTGTGTGCTACAGGTTATTATAAGATTTCTAAAGCCTAGCTATGTGTTCTAGCCACAACCACATCATCGTTGTACTTGCCCACCGCTGTTCAATCAACATGACCACCAGGTAACTTGATTTCTCCTTTTCTCTATTTGTTTTTGGCACTCTTTTTTGGAATAGCTCTGTTTCTATAAACAACTTTTTCTATTGGTTAATAGACTTTCTCAATTTGGATTCATTTGAGCTTCATGTGTTCACTCCCTACTCTTTGAAAAGAAAATTTTTTTGATTCATTTTAATTCATAGGCCAAAGGTGCTTTAGTTTATTACTATGTGCTTCAGTTTATTACTTCCCTGTGTAAAGCTTAGCTATGTGTTCCAGCCACAACCACATCATCGCTGTACCTGTCCAGCACTATTCAATCAACACGACCACCAAGTAACTTGATTTCTCCCTTTCTCTATTTGTTTTTGGCGCTCTTTTCTGGAATAACTCTATTTCTATAAACAACTTTTTCTATCGGTTAATAGATTTTCTCAATTTGGATTCATTTGAGTTTCATGTCTTCATTTAGAAATTTTTCTTCTTCCTGTAGTTTAAAATTTGTTCAATAACAATAAAAATAGGAAAAATGGTATACATTGGATAACGATAAGAGATCAAAACAAGCCTCAAATCCAAAGATTTCAGTTCTATGCCTGGGTCTGGACCGAAAGCAAAACGCTATGCATCTACCACCCGGAGAAAAACTACAATATTGGGAACTAGACTCGATAACCTGCAGTCCCTTCTATTAAAGCTTCCTAGCAAACAACCATTGTAAGTTGTCCAATGCCCAATATATTACACAGATGTAGTACGCGGAGTACCTGCTACTACAACCAAATAAATCATCGATTTTATACACAACTCTACAGTTTCCAACATAATTTATTTTTTCATGTAAGCAATTATTTTTTGTCTATTTATAAATCCTTCCTATTTAATGTTGGCATTCTGTTTTATATACCTGCATAGGTTTTCTAGAAAGCAATTTATGGTTTTGGATCTATGTCCTTTGCAAAATGGATATTTTGTAATCATGCTTTGCCTACAAATAAGTATCTCTTATTTTTATTATGCCCATCTGCTATACGTAGTTTGAGGGTGAGAGAATAATTTCATGAACAAACGTTCCTTCCAAATGGCCCTATGGCAGAGCAGTAGAACCACAACTTTATACTCCCACACTGGCATGCCATAAGCAAAACACAAAATGTCCTCTCAATGTATGCTTGCATTTGTGAAATTAAATGAACATGCCAAAATTTCATTTGGACTGAAGTGCTCATCCAATAATGTAGTAACTTCTAACTTATGTCATGTTGTAAATTTTGTTAATTCGATGTTAATATATTTCTTTTTCATTTTGAGCATAGAGTTCTTGCATCTAATAAAGTTGTAACTTCTAACTTATGTTGTGTTGTAATTATTTATTAATATATTTCTGTTTATATTTTAAAGTTTTCTTATGTTTTAGCAGTCAAAATTGACAGTGTCTGTATGTGCTAAATATGGGTTGCAAGTGGTGGGTTATGGGCCTTAATTTGGCCAAGTAATATTAGTGGGTATGTAGTAGAGTTTTAGAGAACTATTAGTAATAGAAGTTTAAGTTTTTTTTATATTTGAAGTCTCAATTCTAAAAGAAGTAGGGGAAGTATTCATTTAAATCCAATACAGTCTTTTAGAGATTTAAAGGTTTTGTAATATGTGAAGCAATCCAACAACGGAGGTTGAAGCTGAAGGAATTTTAATTAGGATGCTCTTTTTTTTCTCTTCAATCCATATTCCTAATACGAATTTAATTCAAGTTGAAGTAAGTCTGTTTGGGCGGCATTAGATGGTAATGCGATGTTTTCCGTTACATCTCTTGCCTACACTAATATCAGCTGATACATGAATGAAACAAAGCAATGCTTTCCATGGGGGAGTTACTTTAAGATATGCTTGGGTAGTTATCTTTCATTCAACTTATGCATTTAAATGTAGTTTTCAGAATTAAAGAAGGGATAGGAATATGTAGCTTTGAATACCGAACTTCTCATTTTATGCAATTAATTAGTTCATGATTGCCTCGCATAACTGAATGTTTATCTTTATTTTTTTTCTGCTATGCATTGCTGAAAAACTTATGACCCAAAAAAATCTTATAGATGGTTGTTTGCATTGACCCGACTTTTAGTCAACAAGTGGCAAAGTTGTGAGCCTGT